GGATGTATTTTTTTAGCTAGAATACAGAATGGACTGTGTCCCACCGTCCCTGAGAGTCCCTGGTCCCAGGGACCAGAATATGGCTCAGACCCATGCATACCTCTTTTAAAATATATATATATATATATATATATATATATATATATATATATATATATATATATATATTATTGATTTTCCACAGGGAGGAAGGGAGAGGGACAGATAGCTAGAAATGTCAATGAGAGAGAAACATCGACCAGCTGCCTCTTGCACCCCCCCCCCCCAACTGGGGATGTGCCCGCAACCAATGTACATGCCCTTGACCGGAATTGAACCCGGGACCTTTACAGTCCACAGACTGACGCTCTATCCACTGAGCCAAACCGGTTTCGGCCCATGCACACCTCTTACGCTACTTAAAGCTATTGCTGTTCTGGCGTAAAAATCATTTGTTGAATGAGACATAGTGCAGAGTCTCATATCCAGAGATTCTAATTCATGGCCTGGGGTATAGCCCAGGGATCTACATTTTAAACAGGTACCCAAGCCCTGGCCAGCTAGCTCAGTTGGTTAGAGCATCACCCCAATATGCCAACATTACGGGTTTGATCCCCAGTCAGGGCACATACAAGAGTTAACCAGTGAATGCATAAATAAATGGAACAACAAATTGCTATATTTCTCTTTCTCTCTCTCTCCTTTCTTTCATCAATAAAAAATTTTTAAATATTAAAAAAAAATTAAACAGGTTCCCAGGTGCTTTTTGTTCAGATAGAAGTCCTGCTCAGTCACACTGGGTTGTGGTTTCCATAAGAGCCTGAACAGAGTGAGTTGTGTAGTTTCCTGAGGCCTACCTGGGATGTGCACTGTTTACTTTTTCAAAGAATGTGTTGCCAGTTTGAAGATGGCATTTCTAAACCTCATGTTTACCCTCCAGTCCCAGGATGGGCTCAAGGCTCCCTGAATGGGAAACTGTCCATTACGGACAGAGAGCTTTGCACTCTTGCCTCAAGATTTCATATGTAGGAAAGCTATTTCCTATACTCCTAAGTATGCCAACCAACTTCCTTTCCAGCTCACACTGCCTCACCCACAGTCCTCTACTCAGCATTAGGCTGTTTTCTGTGCAGGTGAAATCACTGGTCTGGGATGGGCCTTGATTCAGACTGGCCAAGGACTAGAGGTGATCTGCCTAAGAGATTCTGACTGGTAAGGGCAATGGTAATTGGGGTGGCAGAATGTGGGGTGGCAGACCTGAGACCATTACCAGGAGGTAGTAAGGGATCAGAACTGATCCACAGAGCTGTGTCCTCAGGAAGGCTTTCCCACTCCCCTGGCAGGTCCAAATGGGCACTTCCTTAGAGCCGCTGAGGAAATCACACTGCCACACACCTGTAAGCTCCCGAGGGCACTGCTGCTCATTCTCTCTGGATTTCATTGTATGTGCTTAATGTCTGGAGCAGGGAGTCAGTAACCATACTAACTGAAAGCAAAAAAGCACTTTCACAATCTATTACTCTCCAAACTACTTTGGGAGCGTTTTTAATTTGTTTTGTTATCTTTAGCCCCATTTCACACATGAGGAAACTCAAGTTCAGTGATGTTCAGTGTCTGAGATCACAGAGCTATCAGTGGTGGAGTCAAAACTCTCCGTAAGAATATAATTCCCAAGTGATAACCAAGTTCTTTCACTTCCACAGTGAAATCTTTTAAATCCTCCCCTCCGGAGCAGGCGGGGCTGGTGCGGCCAGGCCCGGAGCAGCGGCTGCCAGGCTGGGAGCGGCCAGGCCCGGGGGAGCAGGCGGGTCGGGTGCGGCCAGGCCCGGAGCAGCGGCTGCCAGGCTGGGAGCGGCCAGGCCCGGGGGAGCAGGCGGGGCTGGTGCGGCCAGGCCCGGAGCAGCGGCTGCCAGGCTGGGAGCGGCCAGGCCCGGGGGAGCAGGCGGGGCTGGTGCGGCCAGGCCCGGAGCAGCGGCTGCCAGGCTGGGAGCGGCCAGGCCCGGGGGAGCAGGCGGGTCGGGTGCGGCCAGGCCCGGAGCAGCGGCTGCCAGGCTGGGAGCGGCCAGGCCCGGGGGAGCAGGCGGGTCGGGTGCGGCCAGGCCCGGAGCAGCGGCTGCCAGGCTGGGAGCAGCCAGGCCCGGAGCAGTAGCAGCCAAGTCCAGAGCAACTAGGTCGGGAGCGGCAGTGACCAGACCCGGAGCAGCTGGTTGTGGAATGAACCAGAGCAACAGTGGCCAGGCCCTGAGCAGCCAGGCCCAGAACAGCTCGCTCCTTGCCTGCCCCTGCCCCACGGCTGCTTCTCAGACATGGCTGGAAACTTTCGTGGGAACTTGAGGGTCTGCTGAATCAAGTGATGAAGGCTTAGATCTGGATGTGTTGAGTTAGTTTAGGACTGGGGTGTTGATCTGTGAGTGCCTTGGGTGGGGCCTGGATGAGGCTGATTGACCTAGTGGGAAATGTCTTTTGTGTGAAGTGTATCATTGGGCATGTGGAGGTATTATTGATATGAGAAAATGCTAAGTAACTGATGTACTATCTGAAAAGGGATTTACTATCAGGGAAAGGGAGGGAAGAAGAGACTGAACATAAACTGTGCACCTATGGATGAGGACAATGGGGGATGGGGAGGGGGCGGAGGGTAGGGTGGGAACCTGGTGGAGGGGGGAAGAAATGAGGAACCTTTGTAATAAAATGAACAATAAAGATTGATTTAAAAAAATAAAAAAAAAAAAAAAAAAAAAAAAAAAAAAAAAAAAAAATAAATCCTCCCCTCCTTCCCCATAATTGGAGCTGTTGCCCACACCTTCACATTCCCAACTTTCCAACAGATCTTTTGCTTCCAATCTCCTTTCACCCCCGACCAAAGTTACCCACCCAAAATGTAGATCTGGTATGTGACTTTCCTGATTGAGTCTCTTACATACAAGACAAAGGTCCAAATTCTGTTCTCAAAGCCCTCCATAACGTAGTCTTCTAGTCTTGCTCTTTCAGTCTCATCTCCAGCATCATAATTCATATCAATTCTGGTTTCTTCCGAACACTAAGTTCTTTCCCATGTTTAACATGCCATGTTTCTCTTCCATGATTCGTTAGCTTTTCCCAGCCAGCTTTATATGTAAGTAGATAATTAGCCCCATACATTGAAGAGAATGCCTAGCAAATCTATGTTTTGAAGAATAATAAAAGCCAGTTATGCTCCCACCATCCAGTTTAAGAACATTAGCAACTCCCGGTGAGAGAATTCTTTCATGCCTCTGCACAGGCTGGGATGCCCTGCCAGGCTTTAGTCTGCATAGTGAACTCATCATTTGGAAACTCAGATTCTGCTTTATCTTCTCTGGAAAGTCTCCACTGACTCCCTTGAGGGAGATTGAATGTTCCCATTAGACCTCCATTATGGCATTTATAACTATTACATTTGCTTGTTTGCCTCCCCCGTAGATTGAAGATGCCAAAAATTAATCTATTTATCTCCAGCAACCAGAATAAAGGTAGTTACACAGAAAGTGTTCAATAAGTAGGACATCCAAATAAACTTGTATGCCTGGTGTCATAACCTGCAGAGTCCCAGTTTATACCTGTTATCCAGGAGTAATTATCATGTTTCCCCGAAAATAAGACATCCTCCGAAAATAAGACCTACTTACACCTACTTACAGGTTTCCTTCTGAGTGAAATATAAGGCACCCCCGCTCCCCGAAAATAAGGCCTCCCTAGGCTAAACATGAGAGATTTGGTCCACTGATTCTGAAAGAAATGGAGTCACAAGAAATTCACCAGGAAATTCAGGAATTGGATTGTTATGATGATGTTCCAGAAGATGACATGATTGTCATTGAATAAATGAGTAAATTCTTGATACTGTAGGATTCAGTTTGTCTGGTTTGTGTTGACAACTACCATACTACCGTATCGTACACAGGTAATAAATTTCCTTTATTTTCATTTAACAATAAATGTGTACCATATTCTTCATGGAAAAATAAAACATCCCCTGAAAATAAGACCTAGCACATCTTTGGGAGCAAAAATTAATATAAGATACTGTCTTATTTTCGGGGAAACAGGGTATTACAAGTACTTCCTTTTATACTCATGAACATATTCTACTTTAAATGATCAATTACATAATTGCCCTATCAATCAATAAATGGTGAATGATTAATGGAGAGTTTAGCAGATAGAATCTAGGCAGAAAAAGCTGATATATAAATATCCTCAAATAAAAATTCAACAGCTGGCCACTGTCCCCCATCCTCTTCCAGAAGTGCTTGACTCTCTCAGAGACAGAGAAGATGAGTTTGCACAGACCAGATGCTCAATAATTTTTATTGTGTAAATACACTGAAAAGTGTTAGGATATTTCTACTTCAAGAAAACCTAGTTGTAAAATGTGAATTTACAGTAAAGATCATTGTGACAGATTACTATTGTTTGTTTACTAGTTGATGGGACTAGATAGTAGAGGAATTTAAATAACTGACTTTACTACTTGCTGAAAATCAGAAATGCAGGTTACTCCTGAATAAAAACCCAGTCAATGAGGACATAAATTTAAAAATATCAATTAGTTGCACTTAGGGAAACATAAAAATCTCCTTGACTTTGACATAAATAAGTTTTTATTTAAAGTTTCTTTTGTTATTCAAGTAGAAAAGTTGTTGTTTTTTAAAATTTATTTCAGAGAGGAAGGAAGAGGGAGAGAGACAGAAACATCAATCATTGATTGGCTGCCTCCCACATGCCCCACACTGGGGTTTGAGCCCACAACCCGGGCATGTGCCCTGACCAGGAATTGAACCGTGACCACTTGGCTCAACTATTGAACCACATCGCCCGGGCTAGAAAAGTGTTTAACTATTGTCAAACAAAAAGCAAAAAGTGAGGTAATTAATCTTTTGGATAATAATCTCCTCTTCTCCAACAGTGTCATGTTCCTTGAAACATCAAAGTAATTCCTTATGAATAAGGCTTTTAATAAATTACAAATATGTAAAAGGTCTTACTGTCTTCTTTCTGAACTACTTAGTACACTGTTGCATAGCAACAATTTTTTTCCCCCGCTTCTTTGTTGGAAGTCTGAGAGTCTGAAATCTGCATTGACTTGGATGAACTTGGGGGTTTTTCTGGTGCCAGGGGTGCAAATATCCATTGTAGAAATCAGTAGCTGTTAGTGTTTTCTTGAGCATCACTGACCGAACACCAATCCAGCCATCCTAAAGGGCAAAAGATAAATAGTGATATGAAGTAGTAAAATGAAGTAAACTTTAGTTTATAAAACTTTTATCATGAAAACAAACCAACTAAAACACTTTTACTAAATGCTTAGCTGCAAAGAGCACTATAACATGTACGATTCTTTGAGGCTGAAAGTGTATTACCAACAAGGGATAACAAATATACAGATCTGTATAAACCTATTTAAACAGAGAGAAGCAGAATAAAAAGGTATATTTGCATGATGCTTTATAGTTTTCAGAGTGTGTCCATGCTTCTTATTATGGCTAGTTATCACAATACTAGGTGTACCGGTTAATAATAGCGGATTTTGTAATCAAAGAAAACACGAAAATTTCAAGAGAAGCATCAAAAGTGCTTTATTCAAAGTAATGTTCATCGCTAGCTACACATTTCCCCCTCTTTCAGGTAATTTGTGGATACCGTCCCAATAGAACTTTTCTTGTTTTGAGGCAAACCATTCAGAGACCCAGTTTTCCACTTCTTCATACGTTTTGAAGTGCTGCTCAGAAAGTGCATGTGCCATCAATCAGAACAAGTGGTAATCTGGAGCAAAGTCTGGTGAATACAGCGGGTGGGCTAATACTTCCCAGGCAAGATCTTTTTTTATTTTTTTATTTTTATTTTATTGATTTTTCACAGAGAGGAAGAAAGAGGGATAGAGAATTAGAAACATTGATGAGAGAGAATCATCGATCAGCTGCCTCTTGCACACCCCCCACTGGGGATGTGCCCGCAACCAAGGTACATGCCCTTGCCTGGAATTGAACCCAGGACCTTTCAGTCTGCAGGCCGACGCTCTATCCACTGAGCCAAACCTGTCCCAGCCCAGGCAAGATCTTTTAATGTGTCTTTAATTGGTTTTGAAATGCATGATGGTGCGTCATCATGAACCAAAATTATTTTGCCGTGTCTTCTGGCACATTCTGGTTGTTTTACGATCAAAGCATAGTTCAAATTGATTATTTGTTGTCGGTAGCAATCAGCATGAATGGTTTCACCTGGTTTTAGAAGCTCATAATACATCACACCATCCTGATCCCACCAAACGCAGAGCATTGTCTAATTTCCGAAGCGATTTGGCCTTGCAGTCGATGTTGATGGTTGACCTGGATCTACGATGATTTTGTGCATTTGGGATTTTCAAAATAAATCAACTTTTCATCGCCAGTCACAATTTGATGCAAAAAGATTTTCTTTTGTGCCACTGAAGCAACATTTTACTGGTGACTTTTTGATTTTCCATTTGTCTTTCGTTCAGTTGATGTGGCACCCATTTTCCTTCCTTTAAAATCTTTTCCACTGCTTGTAAACGATAGCAAATTGTTTGCTGAGCAACATTTAATCTTTCTACAAGTTGTTTTTTGAGTTTGACACGCATCTCCATCCAATAATGTTTGTAATTGTTGGTCTTCAAACTTTTTCAGTTGACCTGGACGTCTTTGTCTTTCGCATTGAAATCATCACTTTAAAGCATTAAACCAGCATTCACAAGTGTCTTGAGATGGGTCATGTTCACCACAAGCTTCCTGAAGTATTCAGCACCACTTTTCTTCAAAATAAAGTAATGAATTAAAACCTCCCACAAAATCCTAACCGGTTTGGTTCAGTGGATAGAGCATCGGCCTGCGGTCTGAAATGTACAAGGTTCGAATCCAGTTAAGGGCATATACCTGGGTTGTGGGCACATCCCCAGTGGGGGGGGGGGATGTGTGTGTGCAGGAGGCAGCTGATTGATGTTTCTCTTTCATCAATATTTCTAACTATCTATCCCTCTCCCTTCCTCTCTGTAAAAAATCAATAAAATATATATATTTTTAAATCTTCCTGCAAATGCTTTTTTTTTGCATGAAATTTGACATTTTTAAGTGTACAAAAATATCTATGATGTTAACACCTTTAGCAAATTGGACATATGAAATTTTGAAGCTTTTTGTCAATACAACAAAATAGCATACATATCAAATCGCATATATACATAACATATGTAACTCCATCTATTTAAAAAAATCTGCATTATTAACCAGTACACATAGTACAACCATTCTAAAAAGTAGACAAATCCAATACTATCCACAGAGAAAACTGATGCCCAGTCAATGTGAGTGAGTGATCTGAGATGACACAACTTGTGAATCTCAAACTCGCATATGCAGACAACACCAGCTTCTTCTATGAGAGCAAACTACAGACCCAGCAGGACAAGACATATGCACCCAAAGTTAGTCCAGAATAAGTTGAAGAGACACGAAGGGAGGTTGACACAGGAGTTCTGTATCTAGTCTGTGTAGGTCAGATTAATCTATCATACATTTTAAACATGAGCATGAAACATCTCACATATACACCATATGAAGGAAATGCAAGGAATGTGGAAGACTTCTTAGGAAAACACTATCTATCTACACAAAAGCCTAAGCGACTGTTATGACCAGTCATTACAATGCACACTGACCACCAGGGGGCAGATGCTCAATGCAGGAGCTGCCCCCTGGTGGTCAGTGTGCTCTCACAGTCAACCTCCTGGGGCCAACCAGTGGCCTTGGTGTCTGTTCCTTCTGCGCCTGGCCCAGCAACCCTTGCCTCCTCTCCCGACCTGACCCAGGGCCCTCAGGGTGGGGAACTGGGGGTGGGCGGCGGCAGATGTGGCCCCTTTCCCAGGGAGACCAAGGGCTGGTTCCCTCCTCTGGGATGATGGCTAACCTCCTGTGTGCTGTCCTACCCCCCAGCCGGCAGGCCCCGATTGGCCTGCGGTCCCTCCCCCAGTTCTTCCCTCCCAGCCCCCCTAACTCCCCCAGGTTGGCAGGCCCCAATCACCTGGCCCTTATTGACCCTGACTGCTGGTCAGGTCTAGGGACCCCACTCATGCACAAATTGGTACATTGGGCCTCTAGTTGTCTTATATTCGATAAAACAATGATGATTCCAAAGTCATTTTAAATCATTAGAAATGTCTAACCACTGTTGAATAGTAAAAGCAAGTAGGACATATGCACTGTAGTTCAGCTAAATACTTGGATATCTTTTATGATAGTCATATTAACAAGATAAAAAGAGCTTGTTAATTAAATTAGTTTACACAGAATATAAAATTTCTTCAAAAGAAGAACTATGGTTACTGAATTTTCTTTCATTGTTTGAGTAACAACAATGCCTTGGCAAAACTTCATCAATTTAAAATAATTATATAAGATTCTACTATTTCTTAAAAAAAAAAAAAGTCCATTGCCTCAATCTGATAGACAAGTAGTTCAGTGAAGTCCCAACTAAAAATGATAAATGATACAAACTATAAGTTTAGTAAAACAAGTATGATAATTTTAAACTAAAGGAAATGTACCTTGCAACAAACCAGAAGCTTTTGTGACGGTTTGTGGTATATTACGGATCCTGGAATAACAGCCTGTCCTGCAAATTTTGGATCTAAAGAATGGAGGGGGGGAGGGACACGAGAGAGTGAGAATAATTACACTTCATTATGCTTCTTAAAGATTACATCATCTTGGGAGGCAGTACTAAAACTACAGAGGACTCATCTGCTGATAACTTGATTCAAATGGAGCCACAGTGTTTTGTGTGTACCTTGAACCCAAATGGAAGCTTTCCAAACATATAAGCTATGAGTCTCTCAAAGGTCAACCTAAAAATGCTGAATCCAGAAGTTTTGAACATTTTGGGGAAATAACTAGCTTCCAGGGGAGAAATATACAGGAGGCTTAGGATAAAAGCCGGCCCCTTCATCCATGATTAAACACATACCAATTCCTAGATTTCCGGGGAACCCCGACTCTGAACGACACCAGCACCCACTGTGGCTCACTCCTTCAGTCCACCACATTGGGAGAGGGGGGTACTGATGGGCCTCAGAACAGGCCTGTATTGTGAAATGGCAAACCTTGGCCTAAGATCTCACTGAGCTGCTCATTTTCATTATGACATTCACCAGGATGAAATTAACCAAGTCATTTTGCACCCCCTGAAATGCTTAGTATGGGAAATCACAGAGCTTAAAACGGGATAGCGCCACTGCTCTCTCTGACTACTTCCTAGGTTCCTATGATGATTAAATGAGAAAATACATGTGAATGGGCACTCAATGAATGTAATATGTTATTATTATTGAACCCAAACAAACTAAAAGAATTCCTACTTTTTGTAAATGTGACCTATGGTAAAACAGACACATTTTCAAATAGATTATAGTGAAAACATTTTCTATGTCAGCTATTCAAAAGTTAATACCAGTGAGGACTGAACTATTAACTTCTACCAAATCCAGAAGTTTAATGGTGTTATCCATCCAGAGTGTCTGTAACGGAATCTGCAAATATAATTAAAGAAGGGATGATTAAAGAAATGTCCTCAACCCCCAAACCTTTTAACTACCATTCTGTGCCAGTCAGGTCTCACTTGTCTCCCAATTACAGAGGAACTGGGAACTCAGTTTCTAAGTCTTATGCAACAGAACATAAACATGACCCTCTACATCAGTTTCCAGAATTTATAAGATCTTAACATTAAACACTATTTTTAAAATCAATGTTTCTATCTTTACTAGAGCCCGGTGCACAAAATTCATGCACAGGGTCGGGGAAGTCCGTCAGCCCAACCTACACCCTCTCCAATCCAGGACCCCTGGGGGAGTCCCTGAGGGATCAGGCCTCTATTATTAAAAATCTAGAGCATACGGTTTTATAAGGAACTTTTTTTACTTAACCATAAATCATGGACAACTTTTCTTTAGTACACACTTATCTATCTTACTCTTTTTATCTGCTGCATAGGATTTCATTTTATGAATATACCATAATTCATACTATCTTTATGATCAATATTCATTATTTTTATTTTTTCGCTATATAAAATTGTAAAATGTGGTGATAAATAGCCTGCTAGATATATGTTTGAGAACTTTAACATATTTGAGGAATTTTATACATATATATTTGAGGGTAGTTATTATGTATGTTTTTTTTAATTGTTTTTTTTTTTTTTAATGTTTTTATTGATTTCAGAGAATGGAAGGGAGAAGAAATAGAAACATTGATGAGAGAGAAACACTGATTGGCTGCTCCTACAGGGATTGAGCTTGCAACCTGGGCATGTGCCTGACCAGGAATCAAATCTGTTACCTCCTGGTGCATGGGATGTTGCCGAACCAACCCAGCCACACCAGCTGAGCTGGTTTTTTTAGGGGCTACCTGGATTAGAAAGCATCAACATTTCACTGTTAAAATGCTGATAGGAGAAAAAAAAATGAGAATATATTGTTGTTTATTAGTGATTCCATATATTTAGTTGCAATTTTATTTTTTATGAAAATTACCAATTTATGCCCTTTGCTCATTTTTAAAAAAGATATATATTTTATTGATTTTTGTACAGAGAGGAAGGGAGAGAGATAGAGAGCCAGAAACATCGATGAGAGTCATCGATCAGCTACCTCTTGCACACCCCCTAGTGGGGATATGCCCGCAACCAAGGTACATGCCCTTGACCAGAATCGAACCCGGGACCCTTCAGTCCCCAAGCCGACGCTCTATCCATTGAGCCAAACCGGTCCCGGCCCTTTGCTCATTTTTTAAAATAAAACTGAGTTGTTCATCTTTGCCTATTAATTTGTGAAAGCCTTTTATATTTTTAGGAAATTAGACCTTTAATTCTTCAATGTGTTATGAATCTTTTCCCAGTTAATTGACTTTTTACACTATTTTTTTCATGCATAAATTTTTTATATTTATGGAGTGATATTTAAGTCTTTTCTCTCATAACTTCAGTGTTTCATATCATGCTTAAGGAGGCCCATCCTATAGTTCAAGATTATTAAATAAAATACAATTATTTAATTGTGCTTTTTCCCCAGTCTTTGGTAGGGTTTGTAAAAAAATTAAATCCCTGATCCATCTAGATTTTATTTTGATTTTAAAAGGTAGCTCTCTAAGGCTAACCAGTTGTCCCAATGCTACTTACTGGATAATCCATCTCACTCTTTCCTGCAATGTATGTCACCTTTATCACATAATATGTATCTGACATCCTAGAACTTGATTTAAAGATACTAACAAAATTAACACATCCCAGAAAATAAGTTATCTCAATTTTCTAAATTAAAAATAAGTTTATTTTCAGACTGTGTAGCTTGATCTTATTTCATAGGTAAAGAAAACGAGGCCCAGGAAAATGCAGCTATTTTCCCCAAAGTTAGACACAGCTACTTAGTAGCAGAGCCAAAGATCAGAATCTGTTTTTTTAACCTCAGCTCAGTGCTCTTTTTATGAGGTCCTTAAAGAAGACATTTAATTTTTAGAAGAGTTAAATGGTTGCAAAGATTTGAACATTAAATTTAAAAATATTAAAAGATCATCGTGTTGATATGACACATTTTGATACAGTATCCTCTCTATAACTTGCTGACACATTTTGTTTCACTCATATTACTTCCAATAGAAGTTTTTTTATGTGTGTAATCTTTTTCTGTCAAAGAACTCAAAATACTTTAGAAACATGCTTTCTGACTAAAAAGGGATTTATATATACTGAGAGCTATGAATATGTTAGGAATATAATAAAAATATACAGGTCTTTTAAAAATATATATTTTATTGATTTATTTACAGAGAGGAAGGGAGAGTGATAGAGAGTTAGAAACATCAATGAAAGACAAACATCAATCAGCTGCCTCTTGCACACCCCCTACTGAGGATGTGCTTGCAACCAAGGTGCATGCCCTTGACCGGAATCAAACCTGGGACCTTTCAGTCCGCAGGCTGATGCTCTATCCCCTGAGTCAAACCAGTTAGGGCCAGATCTTTTTAAAATTGATTTGAGAGAAACATATTGTTCCACTTATTTATTCATTGGTTGCTTCTTGTATGTGCCCTGACAGATCAAACCCACAACCTTGGTGTATAAGGACCATACGATAACCAAATGAGCTACCCAGCCAGGGCCCCAAAATACAGTTTTTATTCTTGAGGAGTGAAGCTTATCTTCATCTATCATCAGAGCATTGCAGAAAGGAAAGGGATGGTAAGAATATAGTCATTTCGGTGTCCACCGTCATTACTGTCAAAATTATATGTTCGCATGGATTTAAATTCAGTTTATCTTCTCTGATCTTGACAGTGTGAACATGGTCATTAACCCCATTTTAGAGGTAAAAAAGCAGAAGGTCAGAGAAGATAAGGGTTTTGCTCTTCATAGTAAATGGCAGCTCTAGGAATTAAATCTCCCTTTCTGGCTCTTTCTGTGACAGCACCAGCTTTTCTCAGTGGAGAGGAAAGGTGAACTGCAGAAATAAGGCTCATCATGTAGTAATATACAGCTCTGTGTTTAACTTTTTGAGGAACTGTCAACTTGTTTTTCACAGCAGCTGCACCATTTTACATTCACACCACCAATGTAGAAAGGTTCCAAAGTTCTCCACATCTGTGCCAACCCTTGGTACTGTTTTTTAATTATAGTGATTCTAGTAGATGTGAAATGGCATTTCAGTGTAGTTTTGATTTGCATTTTCCTAAGGACTAAAGAAGTGGATCATGTTTCCATGGGTTTATTGGTAATTTATATGTCTTGCTTGGGAGACATGTCAGATCCTTTGTGCATTTCCTAATCAAATTATTTGTCTTTTTGCTGGAGAGTTTTAAGAGTTCTTTATATAATCTGGATACTAGATCCTTATTAGATGTAAGTTTTACAAATGTTTTCTTCTGATCTATAGGTTGTCTTTTCATTTTCTGGGGAATGTTCTTTGAAGCCCCACTGTATTTTTTAATCCTCACCTGAGGATATGCTTTTTTATTGATTTTTAGAGAGAGAAACAGTGATGCTAGAGAAACATTGATCAGCTTCTTCCTATATGTACTGGGTCAGGGATAGAACCCACAACCTAGGTATGTGCCCTGGCTGAGAATCAAACCTGTGACCTTTTGATGTACAGGACAACACTCCAACCAACTGAGCCACCCGGCCAGGTTGAAGCCCAACAATTTAAAAAATATATATGTTTTATTGATTTTACACATAGAGGAATTGAGAGGGATAGAGTCAGAAACGTCGATGAGAGAGAAACATCGACCAGCTGCCCCCTGTACACCCCCTACTGGGGATGTGCCCGCAGCCAAGGTACATGCCCTTGACTGGAATCGAACCTGGGACCCCTCAGTCCGCAGGCCGACGCTCTATCCACTGAGCCAAACTGGTTTTGGCAAAGCCTAACAATTTTTAATTTCCAAGTCCAGTTTCTCTATTTTCAGTTTGGTTGCTTATCCTTTAGGCAAGATATCTAAGAACCATTGCTTAATTCAAAGTCATTAAAATTTACCCTTGTTTTCTTCCAAGAATTTTAGTTTTAGCTCCCACTTTTAGGTCTCTAATCCATTTTTTAGTTCATTTTTTATATACAGTGTGAGGTAGGACTCCAAATTCATTCTTTAAAAAAAAATATATATTTTTATTGATTTTTTACAGAGAGGAAGAGAGAGGGTTAGAAAGCTAGAAACATGGATGAGAGAAAATCATGATCAACTGCCTCTTGCACACCCCCCACTAGGGATGTGCCCGCAACCAAGGTACATGCCCTTGACCGGAATTGAACATGGGACCCTTCAGTCCGCAGGCCGACACTCTATCCACTGAGTCAAACCGGTTTTGGCAAATTCATTCTTTTGATTGTGAATATTCACTTGTCCAAACTCCATGTGGTGAAAAGACTATTCTTTCCCTATCAAATTGTCTTGGCACCCTTACAAAAAAACGAAATGAACACAAATGTATGGGTTTATTTTTGCACTTCCAATTCTACACCATTGAGCTGTATGTCTGTCAATGTTTATGTCAGTACCACACTTTGATTACTGTAGCTTTGCAGCAAGTGTTGAAATTAGGCAGTGTGAGTCCTACAATTTTGTTCTTTTTATCAAGAATTTTTGGCTATTCTAATCCTCTTAGGATTCAGTATGAATTTAAGAACCAGCTTGTCAATTTCTGCAAAGAAGTTAACTGGAATTTGTATAGAAATTGTGTCAAATCTGTAGGTCAATTTGGAGAATGGTGCCATCTCAGCAATACTGTCTTCCAGTCCATGAACACAGAGGTCTTTCTCTTTATTAGGTCTTTACTGTTTACTAGCTCTACCATTTGGGGGGGGATTCTTTCGTTTTTCTCTAAGATCATGTCGTCTGCAAATAGTGATAGTTTTACTTCTTCCTTCCAATCTGGTTCCTTGTATCTTTTCCTTGCATAATTCCCTGTTACCGCTACTGCTGAGTAGCAATGGTGATAGTTCTCTTGCTCCTGATCTTGGGAAAGCTTTTGGTCTTTCACTATACAATATGTTAACTGTGGGCTTTTGGTAGTAGATGATGTTCTTTATCAGGTTGGGAAAGTTCCCTTCTATTCTTAGTTTATTGAGCATTTTTTTAAATCATTAAGGACATTGGCCCGGCCGGGGTGGCTTGATCTATGAATCAGGAGGTCACAGTCAGGACATATGCCAAGGTTGTGGACTTGATCCCTAGTAGGGGGTGTGTAGGAGGCAGCCAATCATTAATGTTTCTATTTCTCTCTCCATCTTCCTTCCTCTCAGAAATCAATAAAATAAAACGACACTTGATTTTGTCAAATGTTTTTCCTTTATCTATTGAGATAATTCTGTGACTCTTATATTTTATTCTATTAGTATGCTGTTGCTTTGATTGATTTTTGCATGTTGAGTCAACCTTGCATTCCTTGGGTAAATCTCACTTAGTCATAGTGTATAATCTTTTTCCATATGTTGTTTGATTCAGTATGTTAATTATGTTGAGGGATTCTGCCTCTATATTCATAAGGGATATTGATTTTTAGTTTATGTTTTTATACTGTTTTTATCTGGTTTTGTCTCTGCTTGGAATGCTCTTTTACTGATCTTGGCATGGCTAGCTCCTTACTGTTTTTCAGATCTCAACTTAAATGTTAGTTCAGAGAGATCTTCCCCATGTATCCAATCTAAAATAACCTCCAGTTAGTCTATTTTTTAAAAAATTTTCATCAAATAACTTATCACACTATCTGATATTTTTAGTTATTTGCTTATTTGTTATTTTCCCACATCATTTTATCTCTAGTACCTGGGATAATGCCTGACATAATATGAGCCTTCAATATTCCATTTAATGAATGAATAAATAGCAGATATCATTTAATGAGTACTTCCTGTGTTGTATACTGTACCCTGGTCATAATAGATGCTTTTTTTGTTTGTTTTGTTTAGCAAAGGTGGAAATTTATTGAAGAACAAGGACAAACTCTCATGTGGGGAGGGGAAAAGAGTTCCCAATAGATACTTTATATATATTATATCAGCCCTAATTTTCTGAAGAACAAACTAAAGATCAGAGGATACTTAATGTTACTGACCTAAAGTAGTTAAAATGGTAAATTTTATGTTATGTATATTTTACCACAATAAAAATATGAACTTCAGAATTTTTAAGGTTTAGTTTATGAGACTCATTCTTAAATAAAATTATTTTGAAAGTGAAGTACACACACAATTAAGTAAAACTGCATTCTGACTTCCAACTTACTATATTTCCAATGGCACGATGAAGTCTGAATATTTCCTCTGAAGTTTGTTCCTCCCATTTTATACAGCTGGTACGAGCAGAAATCTTAGGGGCTACAAGATAAAGCCAATGGCAAGAATGAATATCAAGTTCAATGTCCATAAAATGATAACTATTGATGCTGAAAAATAGATACAAGATTAATTCATTACATTATTTTCTCAATTTTTGTATATGTTTGAAATTTTCCATAATACAAAATAAAAATAAATAAATCATGCAGGTACTAGAAGAAAACATGGGTGAATTTCTTTATAACCTAAGTGTAGAAAATAATCCTCTAATTCAAACGCAGTTAAAGAAAATTATAAAAGTGACTACATAAAAATAAACTTTTGCAAGACAAAAAGAAATGCCGTAAGTAAGGCATTGAGGGGCATGAAGGAGCAGCTTGCCAGTCAATGATTCTCTCTCATCATTGATGTTTTATCTCTCTGAAATCAATAAGAAAACATATATATTTTTAAAAAGTCAGTAACATGGAAGGCAAAAAATAGTGGAGGAATTAATTACTATAGATTAAAGAGAATAAAGGGTAATACTAACAACTAATTACAATTGGATCTCAGTTGGAAAAATAAAATGTGTTTTTAGACAATTAGGAAAATTTAAATATGGATGGGATACTATTGTGGAACTGCTCATTTTTCATGATGCATGCCAAAGTGTTTAGGGATGAAAGGTCATGATGCATAATTCCAAATGGCTAAGCAGAAATTAAAATCCACATGCTAAACAAACACACATTTAGGGAAAATATGGCCAAAAATTAATAATTGTTGACTCTAGGTTAAATAGCTAATCAATCTTTCAACTTATCTCTGTGTTTGATACTTTTCAACATAAAGAGTAGAGAAAACATTTCAAATCTTTCATGAATCTGCATGTTGATAGGGAGAGGGAGACCTTACCAACCATTCTTTAGAAAAGGACATCAAGTGGGCATTCAATCTTTAGTCAAAATTAAGAGAAATGTGCAAATGAAGAAGTCAAAGTGTTCAGTTACTATCAAGTCAAACAAAACCCTTTGCCCTGGCCAGGTAGCTCAGTTGGTTAGTGTGTTGTCCCGATACACCAAGGCTGTGGATTCAATCCTTAGTCAGGGTACCTATAAGAAGCAACCAATTAGCTTGGCCAGTGTGGCTCAGTGGTTGAGCATCATCCCATGCACCAAGAGGTTTGATTCCTGGTCAGAGCACATGTCTGGATTGTGGGCTCGATCCCCAGTAGGGGGTGTGCAGGAGGCAGCCAATGAATCAATGTTTCTATTTCTCTCCCTTCCTTTCTCTAAAATCAATAAAAACATATATTTTTAAAAATCAACCAATGAATGCATAAAGAAGTAGAACAACAAATCTGTTTCTCTCTCTCTCTCCCTCCCTGCATCTCTCTAAAAATCAATAAAAAAAAAAAAAAAACGAAACAAAAAAACATAACAAAGGAACCCATGGGAAGGGATAAGAGTCTGTAGCTTTCACTTACCATGTGTCGCCCCCTCAGTTGGCTGCTGCCTTCCACTGTTCAAACTTTCGGGCAAATTTTTCAAAACTGAAATAAGCTAAAAAAGAAGAGCAATATATTCAAGATGAAAAGAAAAAAAGCAGAACTATATTACAACCTAGTTATCATGAAATTAGCCACAGCTTTAAAAGCTGTGTGGCAGGTCAATAGTAAGCTGGCCCAGGCTGTGAGCACACCGTCTGCTCGGTGGGGTTTCCGTGGAGAGGCTGCTCTCTGTAGGGTGCCGGTCACTGATTTGCCTCCAGCGAATGCTGAGCTTTGACTGGATGTGCAAGCTTTCTGGATCAGGATAGACTATGCTCAGTTATCCACACTCTCACCCTGCAGGGAGGAAGGCCGTGGAGTCTCTGAGTGTATTCTGGAATCACATAACTCTGGATTCAAATCCAAATTTCACTACCTACTAGCTGTGTCATTGTGGAAAAGTTATTTTACTTGTCTGTGACCTTCAATGGCATCATCTGTAAAACAGTCACCAACAAGAGCTACCTCAAAGGTTTGTTGGAAAAGTAAAAAAATCATTATATAAAGTATCCCGGCACAATAAATGACATCCATTATTATAGTAGCATTTCCAAGGTGAGTGCCTAGAATACGTCACATCTATATAGTTGGGGGAAAAGTTTTCTTCTACAGAAAATTAACTAGTTCATATGAAAATCATTAATTTGGTTATAAAGCATTTACTCAGACCCTACTGTATACAGATTCAATGAACTATACAAAGCCATGGAGTTCATGTATAGCTGGGCCGGCAGAATTCCAGTGCATATGGATGCAAATGACTGGAACACAGGCAGAGTGGAAGGAAGCCACGAGTCACTTAGGAAATTCGTATGAGACTGCGGAGAGTGAAATTGGGAAGGATAGTCTAGGCCAGTGGTTGGCAAACTCATTAGTCAACAAAGCCAAATATCAACAGTACAACGATTGAAATTTCTTTTGAGAGCCAAATTTTTTAAACTTAAACTTCTTCTAATGCCACTTCTTCAAAATAGACTCGCCCAGGCCGTGATATTTTATGGAAGAGCTACACTTAAAGGGCCAGAGAGCCGTAGTTTGCCGACCACAGGTCTAGAGCCTTGCTGTGAAACTATGGCCCACATACGATCAAGTGTTTCATTTGAAAACCTTTATTAAATACACAAACTGTGTAATCCTCAAAGACACATGAGACTACAAATGACATGTTAATTTTTAGGAAGTCAGGAGTAGAAATCACTCTTAAAGAATTAAAACTACATATCATAAAATTGTTTTTCTCAGCATAACCATTTAAATCTGCTAAATGAGTAAAAGCAGTGGGATATGAGAACTGTACCATGTTGGCACCCAGTCTTGACAGCACTCCTTCCAATTCCTTTGCAGTGCTCTTGGGGGGCACAGGAATGGTTTCCTGTTTGAGAATTGGACCTACATCAAATCTACAAAAAAAAAAAGAGAAAAAAGTAATGTGATTACTGACAGTCTCTTTCTATCATGTCTGTCTACATGAGCATTTACACACTACCAGGATAATTTAGCCTTGGCCACAAATTTGACTGTTAGCCATTTGCAAAGATAAATGTCAGTTTGAAAGAAAGGTGAGTAAAATCTGACCTGTACTTAGATTTTAAATTTATTTTTTCTTAATGGGTAAAAGTATAAAGTTGCATATCAGGGATTTGATTGCAATTATAGATAATTCTATCATTAGCAATAAATAGTACGAAAAAAATCTCTATTTGTATAATGAAATCATAGAGCAAAGAATTTCTTTTCTAAGGAAGTACGATAAAAACATTCCTAATTATTTTTCTATATTTTCTTTCTCAAAGGACAAGAGTTTTGCTAGATTATAAACACTGTTGATTATAAGTAGATACAAGTATATTTGCATTCCCACAGTCATTTTTTTTCCTGTTTCTGGATTCTCTATTTTTATCTATTAATTTTATGTATGTATGTATGTATGTATGTATGTATGTATGTATTTCCACCAGGCATGTCAGGCTACAAACCATTCCCAGTGCCCACTGCTCGGAGTGCTGAGCGTAGAAATAGCCCCTTCCTCTGTGTCCTAGCGTCAGTCACAGGTGCAGCACAGCAGCCACGTCTGTGGTGCCGGCAGGTCCAGCACCCGCTGTGGCCGGCAGGTCCAGCCACGTCTGTGGTGCCGGCAGGTCCAGCACCCGTGGGAAAGGGGGAGCAGGGGTAGAGGGGTGGCTGCCCCTCTACCCCTGCCACTCCTCTACCCCTGTTTCCCCTTTCCCACGGGCACCTTTCTGGCCCCAGATAGGCACCTGAAGTGGAAAGCCAGGACCCGGACATCCATTCTGGCGCCCGGCTCAGTGTCTGCAGAGCCCGGGAGCACGTGCAGCCGGGAGGGCCTCCTTACAGATGGCCGCCCCCCCTCCCCTTGCTCCCAGTGAGTCCCCCACTGGAGGGGAGGGTCTCCGCACAGGAAGTGAGTCCTTGGGGACCCCAGGCCTCACTCTGGAGGTTCCCCTGGCCTGTGGCTCCGTCTCCAACCTCCAGCGGGATTGCAGGGGCATCAGAGCATGACCATAGGTTTGCTTTAAGAGGCAGAATGGCTGCCCACCAACACCTGTGCCACTCAACCCGCTAAGGCAGAACCATCGGACTGCAGGTGGCACTGCCCAAAGGAAGAGTCTGCTGCCACTCTTCACCCACGTGGCAGTAAGCAATGCCGACCTTCACCAAGCAGCCCATGCCTACACACCTTCCCCCCTTGGTCCTGCGCCTGCTCCTGCCTCCTGCATGCCCTCCGGAGACCGGGGCCAAGCCTAGGGGATTGAGGAGCCGTTACCGGACTGGGTGTTGGTCGCCGGCCCCCGCCAGGGGCGCGGAGCAGTGTCCAGTGTCAGGCTGTCAACCATCCAGGCGCCCACGGCCAGGGCGCTGGGCGTAGGCGAGCCTCTGTGCTCTCTGCCCCTCATGACGCAGGCGGGCACGGCAGCCCACCTGCAACGCCTCGAGGGGCAGCCCCACAAGTCATTTTACATCAAGCTCTGTAAATATTAGCCATTAGTTTTTATTAGAAATATGCTTTATTTCAAATATTTAACTTTGTAGACCTGTTAATTCTATTTTTAACCTATAAGTTTTAGTAAAATGTTTATTTTGAAAAATCACATTCACAAAAACAGTGAATAGTCTAATGAATCACCATATCTACATTACCCAGATTTTAGAATTATCAAAGTTTTGTCACTCCTGTTTCATCACCGCCCACCCTTTTCCCCCGAATTAAAGCAAATTCCAGATATGAGTTGGTCTTCTGAACGTGAGAATTATTAGTTTCTATGGAGACATAAGGTGACAATTGGCAGTCTTAATACATTCCTGAAGCAGTTTTTAAATAATAATTTCTTTGACTGCAGGTATAATAAAAAATTAAATGTTTAAGAAAATTATTGGTATACAATATATTCTTATGTCAGGTTACAAAACATTTTGACCATAGTTTTATTATAGAAACCAGGGCCAGTAGAACCGAGATTCATAGCAACTACTATACAAAAATCCATTTCTCATTTACATAACATCCTATCTACATAAGGGTAATATGCAAATTAACCATCACTCTGTCACACAGGTGGCGGCACCCATAGCCAGAAGATGGCGGCGCCCAATCCTCTCAACCCCTCAGAGGCCCCAGTCTCGGGGGAGGGGAGGGAGGCGGTTGCTGAGCGGGCAGCATGAGCAGCCTGGTGGAATGCTTGCTTCGTTGCTGCAGTGACAAGGCAAGTGTTCTGCGCCCGGCCGGCCGCGGATGGGCCTCTGGGCAGTGGGCGTGGAGCGGCCAGGCCCTGCAGAGAGCTACTGGCACATGGATTCATGCGCAGGGCTACTAGTCTTTTATAAATATCCAGTTGCTAATAATATTATTTCAATTAACAAGTTAAAAATTTCACAAGGGCATAAATACCAAAACACATATGGCTTATGTTAGAAACCAGGAAAAAAACAGAAAGTATAAAAGCAAAGGAAGGACTCTGGAGTTGGAGAAATTAGAGCATCATCCATTCATTTATACCCAGCCCCTCCAATGGACTGATATCAACATTCAAAATCACACACACAAAAAAAAATCTCAAGAAAAGAAAATAAGCTCTTACCTTTTAGGTCTGATTTGCATAATTGTTACTCCAGTAACTGTGTCTCCATGAAGCACGGTATGGATTATAGGGGCTGGACCACGCCACCTTGGAAGGCAACTGGGGTGGACATTCAATATGCCACTGAGTTAGAAAAGGCAGAAATTAGTATGCAAGTGGGTTGTGCCTTTTAGTTACTGCTACCTAAACTAATGCGCTATTTTTTATCATTAAACCTTCTCTCAAATTTTGAAAAACTAACAGTTGTCGCTAGACTTGTACCACCAGAAAAGGGAGCCAGAGCTAAATTCACTCTACTATGAGACCAATGAAACTCAATTAAAACCAGAGCAAGAACAACTATTCATTGTTACAAAGATGTTGCACAACAGCTCATAGTGTCTGGGAGTTTTTAAACAAAAGATGCATTTTTTTTTTTTTTTTAACTATGAGAACCACTCAAACCCTGTTATGCATCTCAGATGGTTTAGTTACATAATTACCCTCACTTCTCTTGGTTTCCATATAGATGCCTAAAACAAGCTTCTTGTAGTACCATCACCTTCACTGTTTATCCCAATACTCCTATCACACAATAATGAACAATTTAAATTATGTGCTGATCTGTGTGGTATGAGATAAGGAATTAAGAATGACTCCAAGGTTTGGGGCTAAGCAACCAGAAGGCTGGAGGTCCCATCTGCTGAGATGAAGATTTGGGGGGTGAGGCGGGGAGCAGATTCTGGGCAAAAAGTTCAGGAATATAGTTGTGGACCTTTCAAATGTTGGATGTCTACTAGACATCCAAACAGGGCTGTGGAGGCGGCAGTGGGCATTAGGGGCCTGGAATTCAGGGAGAGATCTGAATTGGCGGGACACATTTGGGAGTTGTCAGCAGATATATGAAATTTTAAAAAGTTTTGTTTATTGATTTTAGAGAGAAAGCGAGGGGAGATAGAAAAATAGATGAGAAACATCAACATTTTTGTGGCCTCCTGCACGCCCCCTGCTGGAGACGGAGCCCACAGCCCTGACAGGAAATACCCTGCTGACCTCCTGGTGCGTGGGTTGCTGCCAACCACCTAGCCACAGCGGCTGGGCAGCTTATGTATAAAATTTAAATGAGGGCGAGTGAAAGAGCATCATACATTTTAACAAGTCATACCATTAAGGTCTCTCTACTGTATTTCCTTATAAATAAAACTTACTAGGGAAATTTAAGAATAAGAGCCTCACTCAAAAGTCGGCCAAATGAAGCGACCACTCCCACATCATATTCTCCAGATCCCACATCTGGCCATTCATACACGGGCAGCTGAGCTTGGACAGCATATTGCTTCACTGGCAGTCCTTTCGGTGATGGGGAAGGCACTGTGACCACCTCCAGTTTCTCGATTAACGGTTCTTCTTTGTTTTCCCTAAATTATAAAGATTGGAAGAAAATATGACAGTATTAAGACAATGACAGTATTAAACTATTTCACCCACCTCTCAGTATTTTCATGATTACGTTCATGAGCAACTGAGAGACTGAGTTTTCACTTTTTAATTAGTTTGAATTATTTTAAGTTTGAAGAGTTACATGGGGCTACTGACTACTGTTTGGGCCAGCAGGGTTCTATGCTGGAAGCGAACACTGTCACTAACAGAGAAATGTAAAAGGGAATCCGGGAGGGGAGGCTGGTCAACCTTGCTCTGAATGGTCGGAGCTGATACACTCATTGTTTAGTTGAGACATTGGTAGTTAAAGCAATCTCCACCTATTAATCATACGTAAATTCTTGCTGATTGTCTATTATTAGAATTTCCTGCCAACAGGATATGGGTGTTTCCCGTAGCCTCAATAAAAGGGATGGCAAAGGCCAGAGCAGTATTAGTCCTCCCCCTAGAGGTGGACTCCTGCCTGGCCCCCATTTTCCCAAATTAACTCTTTTCCAGTCTCTTTTCATTTGTGTTCAGCCTTCTCCAGAACAAGGAACCCTGAAGAGGAACCCTGAGCCACTCGGGACGTGATATGGGATCCCACAGCTCTAGAAATATACAGAAACCCATGTAGTACAGACATTTTGAACAATTGGGATAGTACACATGCTGCTCCGTGTTTTGTTTTTCGCTCTTAACACTATATATGGTATTATGGGAGTCTTTTGGAAAAGATGGGTCAATTACACATTTGCTAACTTATGCAACGAACATTTCTAGAATAAGAAACTAAAAACAGTGACTGCCTCTGAAGGGAGGAACTGGGGGATAAATACTTGGGGGGAAAAACAAGAATGTATTTCTTGGGCATCATTCCATGATTGTACATACTGCACTATCTCCTTTTTTTTATCTGCTGCATAGGATTCCAGTGCCCGGAGGGGCTGTTCACTGGTTTATTAGCAGGTACTGCATCACATGTTGAGGAGTTAGGAGGAGTGTACAGAGGGCCCCAAAAGAGCAAGAGTAATGGAGCCACCAAGCGAAGTATCAGCCCAAGGGCCAGGATAGTGCAGTAAGAGAGGTGGGAGGCAATCTGAGGCAAACAGCATGGGGGGAGTACATTATGTAAGGCATGCAGAGGGAGCATGTGTGAAGGGAGAAATGTGCTACAAGAGGATTGAGGAGGGAATCAATGAGGGCTGCTGTGAAGTGCAGGTGGGGAAGCCTTGATGGAGATGACAGAAATGAGCAGGGAGCAGGACACATCAGGAGAAAACGGAGTGGGAAACTTGAGATGGAGCAGTCTATGTATATGGGGATAGTCCTGTCATGAACTTTCAGGACAGGCTGGATCACAATATTTTTTCCTAGTAAATAGTATTTATTAAATTTAAAAAATACTAAACATATACCTAAGAGTTCTGCTTTATATAATTACTCCTCTGAATTTGCTTTTTGGACTATGTCCTATTTTCAGCCCTAGATAATAGGTCCAGTTGTTTGGGTGAAGAATATGTTTGTATATGTTCAGAAAACTACTCCAAGACCATGGGGATTCCTGCAACAGAGAGGAGTTGTCAGGTCTGCTCCAACCATGAAGACAAGAGAAACAGCCCAGAGATGGAAGACGCTAAGGACGCCTGGCCACGATAGCAGACAGGAGCTGTGTGTTGCTGCAGGTTGCCCGGGACCAAACCAGAGAGGGTCGGACCTGCATTGCCACCATCTGTCCATCATCCAGATATCATTGCTGGCATGTACATATAAGGACTTATTTGACATTGAAACTAGGTCTCAGAACTGTTGGACAATGAAATTGGGACTCAGACATTTTTTGTTATTATATGTTTATTTCTAGTCTGCAGTTGCAAGATTTTTCAAAGAAAAGAAATGGGGAAAATAGTTATAGAGAAAGAACCATTGAACAGACTGTCAAACTATAGCGGGAAGGTAAGAGAGGTGGGGGGGAGGGCTGTAAATGATCAACCAAAGGACTTGTAGGCATTCATATGGACATAACCAATGGATACAAGAGAGGAGGGAGCAGGTGAAGGCATATGCGGGCGACAGTAGGGGAAGCTGGGGGGAGGTCAAGGAGGGAAAAAGGAGACATGTATTACTATTTGTAATACTTCAAATAATAATAATAATAATAATAATAATAATAAAATAGGTCCAGTTGTACACAGGAAGGGGGTGGGGAGCAAAGGAATGAGACAGGGGTGCGCAAGGGGCTGCCTGCGCCCGTGAAGCAGCCCCAGGGACTTGAGGGTACAAATGAGATGAATCGGAGGAAGTGGAAAGGGGAGGACTCTGAAGTGATGCCCGCCAAGCGGGTAGCGCTGGGCGGATGACAGCCCGGCCCGGCGTGCGGGGAGCAGACCGGACAGTCCCCGGCGGGTGCGGCGCCACTTCCGGGCGCCGGGCCCGGGTTCGCCGCGATCCGGCCCGCACTCCCTCCCCCCACCACACACACCGGAGCCCACACTGCGGGGCGGCTGCAGGGGCGGCACCTCGGCGCCCCCCGCCCCCGGCCCCCGCCCCGCCCGCCCGGTACCTGGCGGCGTGCAGCGCCCGCAGCGCCTCGCGGGAGAACCGGTCGGTGCCGAAGAAGAGCACCCGCCAGGGCGGCTTCTCGCGGATGCGGGGGCCCCGGCCGTCCTCCCCGCCGAACCCGGCCAGCGCCCGCCCCTGGGGGCCCGGCCTCCGGCCCGCGCCGCCGCCCACGGGCCGGCGCCCCCAGCAGCGCCGCACCAGCGCCCTCATGGCCTCCGCGGGGCCGCGCTGCGCAGGCGCGGAGGGGGGAGCGGGAGTGGGCGGGGCCGAGGGCGGACCCGGGAGGAGGCCGGGGGCGGGGCCTGTCTGGTAGGCGGCACTCGCCGGGTCCATAGTCCCCGTGATTTTTATTGCACTTGTTTGCACGATTTATCTAATCTCCCTCCCTCCTCCCCCACAAAGAACTCTTTCTGGAACAAAGCATGTGTTTTCACACAATGAAATCTCATTTATTTACATAATTCTGTTATTTTCTCAGCCATGATAACTAATAGTTACTGTGTATTTAATATGCCACGCTTTGGCTAAGGATTTTGATTAGTTCCGCTAATCCTCATATCATTCATACCAGGCAAATATATATATATATATATTTTATTGATTTCTTACAGAGAGGAAGGGAGTGGGATAGAGAGTTAGAAACATCGATGAGATAAACATCCATCAGCCACCTCCTGCACACCCCTCACTGGGGATGTGCCGGCAACCAAGGTACATGCCCCCAACCAGAATCGAACCTGGGACCTTTCAGTCCGCATGCCCCCAACCAGAATCGAACCTGGGACGCTCTATCCACTGAGCCAAGCTGGTTTCGGCAAACCAGGCAAATATCATTACAACCATTTAGCTGAGGAGAATGGGAGACTCCGTGAAGCTGAGTAATTACCTAAGGTCCTCACAGCTAGTCCATGTAGCCCCCAAAGCGTGACCCTGACCAGCTGGCATTCACAGCGATCCTGTGTCCTCTGAAAGCCCGTCAGCGGCCCTGTCTGGCACCAGAGGAAAATGAGGCTCAGTTGCTTGCTCTGGTGTCACACTCCCCTGTGGGTTTCCTCCCACACAGAGGAATACCATAAAGGAGATTCTTAGGGGAAATGATGGCTGCTGGCGGGGAGTGCTCTAAGGACCTCTAGTGATTAGATTTGTATCCCCCAGGACAATGCAAGGGCTTTCACCTTGAATGTGGTCACACATCCTGGCTGTAGAGAGAGGAGACCAGACTCCTTTCTTGTCACTCTCACCAACTTTCCCCATCACAGAGAGTTAGACCCATCACCGTTTTCCTAAACGATGAGCTCTGAACATCCCTGCTCCCATGTCTTTGTTCATGTTGTCCTTCGTAGATGCCCTCTCCACCTTCCTGCTTTCTAAATGCTATCACATGTTCTTTTAAAAATATTTTTATTGTTTAAAGTATTACATATAGTAGTACATATATCTCCTTCCCCCACCCCATTGACCTTCCCCCAGCCACCCCTAACCTCTAACGTATGCCCACATCCCACCCTACCTCCTCCCATCCCAGTGTCTTGTGCCCATTGGTGTGCTTATATGCATGCATACAAGTCCTTTGGTTGATCTATTTTCCTCCAATACTCCCCAGCCTTCCCGCTGTAATTTGACAGTCTGTTGGGTGCTTTACTGCCTCTGTATCTATCTTTTTATTCATCAGGATATAATGTTCTTTATTTTCCATGTATCACACATTTTTTCAATGCCAAGTTTAGCCATCCTCCCCTGGGCTCTTGTGTGTGTGAATGTAATGTCGTTCTGCATGCGTCCTCTTAATGCTCTGTGGGTACCTCTGCTTCTCACACAGTTTGGAGGGAAGTTGCTAATGTATGCACACACCTGTGTGTTGAATAAAAAAGAGAGAGGCAAGAGGAGGGAGAGACTGTATTTCCAGTGATTCCACTCATCTGTGAGATAGGACCCCAAACCTCAGTTCTTTCAATGGAGTTCTCTTTCAGTATCCTCTCTTAGGGTAAGTGGAATATGATTCTAATATTTAAGAAGTGGCCTTATCCCAAACAACATGACCTAGAAACTCAACTAAATAGTCATTTGGGTTTTCATCTTCGACCCTGGCTGCTGTCTAAAGTGTAACTATTTATATTTGTGTTACTTTCCCGTCTCTCCTGGAGTTAGAGAGCCTGCATTATGCCTACATTTAATTTTCAGCAGCCTAGTTCTTCACAGCTGCCCCCAGAGCTGTCCAGAGCTTTTCACAGTGCCCTCTGCCAACCACACAGCGACTGGGAGAAGCCAGAAGGTTGAGAGGAGGAAAGGAGTTTGTAGGGTGATCATAGTTCATTTGTTATCAGACAGACTTGGATCTACCACTTATCAGCCACGTGACCTGGGACAATAAATACACCGAGCCTCAGTTTCCCCGAATTGTAAAATGGGGATGGTACTACTATTGTACTATGGCCATCTCCTGCCTGTGGTTGCACTCGAATTCCGCTAGAAGGCGCTGCTCACCAACCTTTCCAGTCATTGACAGTGAGGAGGTCATAAAGCTTCCGATACGGATTAGGCCCTCTGTGTTTCCGTAGGAAATGTCAGTCCCAAATGTGTCCCGTCTTTGTAAAGCAGGGCTGGGCTGCAAGACCACCCTCTAAGGACAGGCCGGATGTGCTGGGCATCCCACCGCTCTTACCGAAGATGATTACTAAGGAGGCTGTTCTATGCAACAGACTCCCCCAGCGGGAGACTGGAATGTCTTTGGTCCCAGGGGAGAGCTAAGAGGCAGCCTGGGTGTCCTTGGAAGGAGAGAGACTGGAGAGGAGAGGTCACATGACATCTGAAGGAAGCCAGATGTGAGGCACAGGACTCAGGAGCAGGTTAGGGATAGGAAGTACCCCTTGGCTGCTGGCAATCGACCTAGTAAACCAAGGGGATTATAAACATCCAATCCAGACGCAGCAAATATTTCTTCCTTATGGACTATGCACCTGTTAAACAAAAAGCTGTCATGGCCGAAAGCTTTTTAAAAAGAATGAGTTTATTAAACCAAATGCAAGCAAGAAAAAAAAAAAAAGTACCTGGGATATGAAGTCTAAATCACCAGCAGCAGGGCTAGCTAGAGAAAACAGCATGTCCATTGTCCCGGAGTTGACAGGCTCTTTATACACCAAGTAGGGGAAGAAAGACGTAAGTTGTTTCTTTCTTTCTTTCTTTCTTTCTTTCTTTCTTTCTTTCTTTCTTTCTTTCTTTCTTTCTTTTTTTTTTTTTTAATATATTTTATTGATTTTGTACAGAGAGAAAGGGAGAGAGAGAGTTAGAAACATCGATGAGAGAGAGTCATCGATCAGCCGCCTCTTGCACACCCCCCCACCAGGGATATGCCCACAACTAAGGTACATGCCCTTGACCGGAATCGAACCCGGGACCCGTCAGTCCCCAAGCCGACACTCTATCCATTGAGCCAAACCGGTTTTGGCAAGACGTATGTTGTTTCGAAAGAATTTACATTGGCTGTAGATAAAGGGGACGGGTCTAGTTCTGGGATAGGTACAGGGTGCAAGGAAAACATGTTTGTTCTTTAGGATTGGTGAGGGACTACAGTCTGGAAAGTTCAAGTGTTAAGCAAGAAGCTTAGGCTCCTGGGAGGAAAAAGTGGGGAGGTTCATTGGCTTCTGGCTATTCTCTTTAGCCAGATGCACAAATAGCCACCTGGAAGTTAATTCAAAGTTTCACCATTCAGTAATGTAAGCAGTTGTTTTGCTTTTAACTGATGAGCCTCTTGTTTCTCTCTCTTCTACCCTCAGGCCAGCTGCAATTTAATTCAGGACATCTCAGAATTTTCTCTGGTCATTCCTATCCTAGAACTGGCTCACTTCACCTTTTAAAGAGCCCCGTCAGCTCCAGGACGGTGGACATGTCTTTCTCCTCCTCCCAGCCCTTCTTCCGGTGGTTTAGGCTGTCTGTCCCAGGATCTGGTCCTTTTTCTGGCTAGCATATGGCCCAATAAACCCTTTCTTTCAGAAAACCTTTTGGCCTCGAAGACTCTTGTTTAGCAAAGATATAATATCAACAGGGATACAGACACTTCTGGCAACAATGATTGAGTTTGTTTTGTATGCCTACTTGCCTCCATTTATTACAAAATGTAAAAGTGCCCTAGCCGGTTTTGCTCCTTGGTTAGAGCGTTGGCGGTGGACTGAATGGTCTTGGGTTCGATTCTGGTCAAGGGCACGTACCTCAGTTGCAGGCTCAATCCTGGCTCTGGTCAGGGCATGTGCTGGAGACAACCAGTCGATGTGAAAGACACATCCATGTTTCTCTCTGTCTCTCTCCCTCCCTTCCACTCTCTCAAAAAAAAAAAAATATCCTTGGATGAAGATTAACAAACAAACAAATTGTAAAAAGGGAAAAATTAGGAAAGAAATTAACACAAAGAGACTCCTTTTTAAAATTTATTGATTTTAGAGAGGGCAAGAAAAGCGGTATAGGGAGGTGGGGGGAGGCACATCCTTTCGTTGTTGACTTACTCATGTATTCATTGGTTGCTTATTGTATGTGCCCTGACTGGGGAATCGATACCCACAGCATTGGCATATTGGGACAGCACTCCAATCAACTGAGTTGCCTGGCAAGGAAGACTCTATTTATTTATTTATTTATTTATTTATTTATTTATTTATTTATTTATTTATTTTTTAAACCAAGACAGATCTTTAAAAAATTATCTGAGCCAAAGGGGGAGCTTTAAAAGAAAAAGTGTCCTACTATATAATCTAATTTATATGTGGAATTAAAAAAATAAAAACCACACAAATAAATGAACAAACAAAACAGAAACAGACTCTAGATGCTGTGAATAAACTGATGATTGCCAGATGGGAAGAGGTTGGGAGGCTGGGAGAAATAGGATTAAGAAGTTCAAATTTGCAGTTACAAAATAGTCATGGGGATGTAAAGTACAGTTTAGGAAATATAGTCAATAATACTGTAATATTATTGTATGATCCAGGTTTGTACTAGATTTATCTGAGGGGGGGGGTTACTTTGTAAATGATATAAATGTCTAACCACTATGCTGTATACCTGAAATAATATTGAATGCCAACTGTAATTGTGCCAGGGTTCTTGTTCCAGCATTAAGAAGGGTTCAGCAATCTGGAGAAAGGCTGTGTGTAGATTAAGAGTCCAGAGACAAAAAATAATTTTAAAAGGTATTGGGGGTCAGAGGAGCTTCAGCTAAA